TCTCCAGCTACTGTCCTCTACTTCTTTCTCTGCCAAGCTTTCCCAAAGCAGTGTGGACCTGCTGCCTCCTACTTCGTCACCAACTTGGGTGCATCAGCCTAGGCGAACAGCCTTTACCTTCTCTCCTTCCCAGCTCCCGTACCAGCTATCCAAAGGCTGCAGCTACAGCTAATTCATACAATATTGTTGAGCAAGTTAGCAAAAGATGTCTCTTCAGCTGAACAGACACAAAGCTTGGCTAATGGACTTGCCCCGTCTGCCAGATACCCTCCTCCAGAAAACAACAACCCTGTCAATGGCCACTCCTTGGTCCTTTCTTTTCCTGACCTTTCTGGCACTATTTCATACAACTGAGCATCTTCATCTGGAAATTTTCCTGTCCCTTCTCCTTTGACCTTTAGGATTCTCTTTGGTAAATCCTCTTGTCTGTGTGTACACTTATTACAGATAGAAGTCTTCGGTCCCCAGAAATGTTTCCTTTTTGCTGCTCCCTCATCAGTTCCATTTACTTTTGTTTTTTTGTTTTTTGGTTTAAAAAAAATTTTTTTTTCAACGTTTATTTATTTTTGGGACAGAGAGAGACAGAGCATGAATGGGGGAGGGGCAGAGAGAGAGGGAGACACAGAATCAGAAACAGGCTCCAGGCTCTGAGCCATCAGCCCAGAGCCCGACGCGGGGCTCGAACTCACGGAACGCGAGATCGTGACCTGGCTGAAGTCGGACGCTTAACTGACTGTGCCACCCAGGCGCCCCTACTTTTGGTTTTAATAAACACCTCAAGAAGCACCAGGCCTATTATGTCCCACTGTTCACTGGCTATTTTCGCTCAAAGTGAAGTTTAAAGGCAAACTCACTATTCTAGGAATACCCATTTTTGTGGTAGGTATTTTGTTGATAGGACCTTGATTTGGAGATTAACGTACCTCTCTGGCTGTCTAAGGAGAGTTGCACTAAGAAGAGTTCAGGATTGTGAGCTGATTCTGAAAGAGCTCCATAACACCATCAGTTCAAGGGTAATGATGACCACCTATAACACACAGGCTCTACCTTAAGGGAGGACATTAATGAAGTTATCTGGCAAGTGTATCAGTTATGTAAAAGTGGAAGACAGGTCACAGGAGATGGCCTCATAAATCTCAGACTTGCTTCAATTACTAAATCCAACAGTAAATGGTCCTTTCTTTCTTCTCCTGACCTTACTTGCACTATTTCACTGCACACGGTTGGTTCTCAAGAGATTTGGGGAAAAAAGAGTTTCCTAGACTCCAAAATAATTGGTTCCCCTAAAAATATCCTCCTCCCACCTGCCTTCCCTTTTCCCGTATAGAATATGGAACTGTTCTCTCAGCCACCACGGCATAAAAGCTCGAATTTAACTATTTCTTTTAAATCCGATAACTAAAGCAAAAATCAAGGCTACCAAGTCTTCCCTTGGAACATTTCTGAAATAATCCTTTCTTTCCATTTCTTCTCCCACACCCACAGCAAACATTTTTAACTCATCCACATTTTTCCACTGAGTCAGGAAAAGCCTCAGTCTCGCTCAACTGAAACCTTTTTAAACCCACTATTAATGGATCAAAGCTGGCCCTTGAGGTTAAACTGCTTCAGGCCTCCAATCTCTCCTCGTGCTGATCCATTCTGCATGCTAATACCAGGCTGAGGTTTCAAAAAACATTTATCATGTCACCATCTTGGCAAGGCACCAAACCCAGCAACTCTAAACCCCTTACTGAACACTAAACATCCTTCACAATCTGTCAACAATGCACCTTTCCCCCTAAACCTCTACTTCCTCTACAAAATCATCTCCTGACAGTCGTACTTGCCCTTGCCTTCACTCACTTTAACCTTTGATAACAGACCCACATTTTCTCTCTCCCGTCTTTTGGAATTTAAATTATTAAAAAAAAAAACCAAAACAAAAAAAAAACAGCTTCATATTCCACTGTACCCATGAAGCATTCCTTCCCCTGCCTCTAAAAAGAAAGTGCAGTTACCCTTTAAACCATTCATTGAACATTCTGCTAAACGTTGGGTCCAACTATACATTTAAGTGATGCCGTCTCCAAAATCTGACCGTACATTTTACATATAATGACGTACTTCTTCACATTAAGCCTGTGGCTGAAAACCCGTGAACTAATAATTCTATCTTTAATTCCACAGAATAAAAAGATTTCCCTAAGGCTTTGCATCAGAATAACTCAGACTGCAGCAAACGATAATGGATCTACTTTCCTCAAGACAAATTAACTGCTTAAAAATTTCAAGCTTCTGTTGTAAAAGGATGTGAGAGCTGCCTATACGGTGTAGGCAGGGGCCTCGCAGTGAGAAGTCTTCATCCATGTATCTGATAAAGTTGCTACATGAGAAAGTATTACCAACATTGCAATGAAGGCATTCCTAAGAGTTCTCCAAGAATTAAACCAACAGTGGAAACGTCACCAAAGAAAATGAGCACCTGTTTCTATAAAATGAGAATACAGGAATGTGCACAGTAATACCTCAAACGGGAATAAACCTGTGCCTCGGGTTTCTATGGGAAATTTCCTTTCTCTGGTCAACCACAGTCTGAACACGAACAGAAAAATTGGGGGAGAATTTAGGCACTGTAGCTGAAACATTCCAGTGGCAATGATTGGGTCTTTGTAAAAAATGCATTGACAGTGCAACTGTTGTTAGAATTAAATAACAGAACTGTATCGATATCCACTTTGGACCCTTGACAACAGAGTCAACTGAACAAGTTCACGATGTATACAGCAAGTCCACTCAATCCCCGTGACAAAGTTTTCGCTTTGTTGTTTCAAAAGAATCCAGTACTATCAGTTTGGTACTTACTGTCGGCTGAGGAGTTGAGTTCTGTTTTAATCTTTGATTTTTCAAGATCTTCTTTGTATTCTTTCTTAAGTAATTTTACTATCTTTTTGCTGTAACTTGATTTCTTCACTTTGAAAACTTCTTCATTTTCTTAAAAAAGAAATTAAATAAAGTCTGTAGCGATCATTTTCAGACAGTATCTTCTAACTTCCACATGATCTTATGTACTTTTCTCATTCATCCAGACAGATACTCATACACCCCCAAATCATTACATAATGTGAAGTTATTCCAAATCTGTCACTGGTTCTCAAGAACTGAAGTCAGCTTCATAAATGAACCTCATATAATGCAAACCTGAGACTTCTAAAAACGTGTAACACACGCAGCTGCACGAAATTTTCGTATATCCTGTTGTCTTTTTTAAGTCCTCTACCCCAAGAGGAAAATAAAATCATTGAAAAAGCACTTAGTTACTGCATTATTTAGGTATCTGAAACAAAACATCCAAAATCAAAAGGTTCTGGGTAACAGAGCTGTCAAATCTGAGTAAATCTAGATTCACCACAAACTGACATTATTCCAAGACTAAACTGAGAGCAAAGAACTTTTCAACAATAAGTTTTGGTAGGTCTCCACGTCTTTGATTTGAAGAGTTTAAAGTCAAATGCAAACACTTTGCCAAATAGTTTCTACATTAAAAAAAAAAAAATTCTGGCTGTAGTCCCCTCAAACAAAATAAGAAATAACAGACAGGCCAAAGACCAACTGCCTACCTTACTGGAAAGATGAAAGCATCTTGTATGGAGATGAAGATATCTACAAGCCAAGTCTTTTTTTATAACCTGCCCTTAAAACTGGCTTTCATAAACACATACTCAACTGGCTGGGAAGTTAGATTTTAGACTCATTTATGAACAGAAATCTAAATCCACTGCAGCCTGGTTTCTCACACCCCAATGGATACATGGCCTTAAATTACTGTTACACCGTCTCTCTTCGTTGTCCAAAACTCAATGCGAGCGAGAAAAAACCGGACATCTGTACCCCTACTTAGTTTCACGGGGAAACTGAGGCTCGGCGATTGCAAGGAACTGGCCCAAGGTCACTCAGAACCAGAGCTTCAGCTCCGGGATTCTGTTCCCAGACGTAGGACTCCATACTAACCCAGCCTTCCTAGTCAACGGTATCAGATCCCCCAAGAAACGTGGGCATAGTGACCTGCAGAAGACTCAGACCGTGCGCAGAGTAGACAGGGGACCAAATCCAAGTTCTTCCTGAAACACACCCGCCAGGAAAGAAGCAGGACAGGGGACACTGAATTTCCACTTGAAAACCTCAGAACGACTGAACTGCGCTCCCGCCCCGCAGAGGAGGAAATGCACAAGAGGACGGTGAGGAGGAGGCGGTTGTTAAGAAAAGGCTGGTGGCGGCGCGGGAACACGTCCTCCGCCGGGAGCAGAAGGCCGGAGGCGGAGAAGGATGTGCAGCAGGTCGGGCGCGAAGGGGCTCCGTTCCGGGCTGCGGGGGCTGGACGTCCGGGGAATGCGGGGACTAAAGGCGGGGGCCTAGGACAGGGATGCTAGTCTGGGGCGCGAAGCGCGGCGGTTACCTACCTTCCTCCTCGTCCTGGAAGCTGAGCAGGCTGGCCCGAGGCACCTCTTTGTTCTCTCGCGGCCTCTTGCGCGGCTTCAGCCCGTTGCCGGGCTCCGCGCCGCCCGGGAAGCAGCCCCCAGCCTCAGCCCCGGAGCCCGGGGTCAGCGCGGAAGGCGGCGGCAGCCCCGGGCCCTGCAGCGACTCCCCCCCAGGGGCCCTGTCGCCGCCGCCGCCAGAGCCCGGTTCTTCGCCGGTGCCCGGCGGCTGCAGCAGCGGTGGCGGCTCCTGCTCCTCATCGCGCTCTCGCTCCTCCTCCTCCGAGTCATTCCGCTTGCGCACGTTCACTCGCCGGGCCTTTCGGAACATTCCCGCGGCTCGCACGGCGGTCTCACACCCGCTCCCACACGGCTGCCCCGGCAGCTCCAAGCTCGCGACGGCGCACGCGCGCTTCCCGGAGCTCCAGCCGGGTCCTGTCTTCCCTCGTTCTACCGCGCACCACCGATCGCGCATGCGCTCGCGCTCTCGCTACGTGGAGCGATCTCCGCGTCTCTCGCGAGAACGTCAGCTTTTTGCACCGTCCTCTGTCGGCGTGGAGGACTGCTGGCACGGAACTCTGGGGCTCGGGCCCTACCCGATGGGTCACAAAGAGGATCATAGAGACGAGAAGACAGAGTAAGCGCTGGAGACGGTGCTGCAGTGCGTCTTCCGCACTTACGCAGAGTAGTCACGAGAGGAAACCTCCCGCCAAGCGGTGGGAGGGGCAAATAGAGGAGACGAGGATAGGTGGGGGAGGGGCGGGGGCGGGGGAAGGGGCGGAGGGGCGGGGGCGGGGGGAGGAGCCAGAAAGAGAAACCAGGTTTAGGGAGGGAAAGTAGGGTGGGATTGTCTTCCCCAACCCAGGAATTGAGCTGTGATATGGTAATTATTACTTACTGTGTTGAGTCACACTTGGTATTTCTACAGCTTTGTAGCTACAGAGCCCTTCCAAAAGCATTGAATTTCGTTGATGATAAATTGTTTCCCGGCCTGGTATTTTAGCCCCTTTCCACCGAAGGCAAACGTGTTTTAGTGCTTTCGAGAGAACGCCAAGTGTACGAGGCGTTCTGAAACGTAGCTGATTTCAGAAACGGAAGGCAAGTCGATTTGCCGGAGTGGGGATGGTTGTGACACATTTCAGGCTTGCGTCACAAAGGTAACCGTCTCTACTGGCAAGGCCCAAGCAGGGTCCTGACTGTGAGGCCGAACTCACGGGCTTTCCCGTCGAGTCAGCCGACTTTGAGGCCTTTTCCTTCACGGGGGCGCATATATGCGAATTCCTTTTCATGTCTCACAATTCGAAAGGCAACAAAGGGCATTCGCACGGTGCAAAAAAAACCCACCCATCGCTGGAAGCTTTCCAGTCTGGCAGCGGTTAAAAGTTTCTCACGATCCTGAGATTTCTGTGAACAGAGAAGTAAATTATGGATATTTTTTTGTGAATTATCCTTTTTACACAGTGTGTAAACTGTGTTTAGTTTAACATAAATTGGAGATTGGTTGTGTCTGTACGTAAGGTGTTGGCTTTCCTTTTACCCAGCTGCATGCCGATCTACTGTTGGAATGTACCATGATGTATTAAACCAGGACCATAACAATTGATATTAAGGTTATTTCCAGTCTTGCTGTAGTAATCAAAGCCACAATGTAAAGCGTGAAACAAATGGTCTCATCTGGAGAATGAACTAGATTTGGAATCGCTAGATCCAAAGGTGTGCATTTGTAGTTTTGCTAATTCTAAATTGCTCCTTATAGAGTCTGTGCCAGATTGTACTCTTACCAGCAAATATGAGAGGGCCTATTTTGCCTGCCACATCCTGCCAAGATTTCACTGGAGATTTAAGTTCCAAGTTGAAGCAGAAGATCCCAAGCCCACCGAGAATTTCTACGTCAGGCACATCTGCCTCTTTTCTCTGGTTTTCTTTGATTGGATTTGAGATCTGCCCAGTGGGACCCACTTTTGGAAACTGGAAAGATGATTTAGGCTAAAAGCATCCTCTGTAACGTTTTCTTCCAGTTAACAGGAAAAGTTAGTAATGGCTGGCTCTCTTTCTGCTTGCATTACTCTAAATTCTTATATTCTGGCTGTTCAGCCTTGATTTATGTTCTGATTCCAACAGAGTGTTTCATTGGTGAAATTGAACCCCAGCTCCCATCACAGAAGATTCAAATTGTGCCTGATCAGCCTCCAGACACCTGAGCCAAGAGACAGATTTGCAGTAATACGATTAGGGTCGAGGTAGCGAACATGGAGTTCAGAGCAGAATATGTTAATACCTTGGCTTAAAACTTCAAAAAGATCTTCCACTGTAAAAGTGGTGGTTGAATATGGAGAACCATAGGCAAGAACACGTGTGATTTTAACATGAGCCAAGATAGTAGACAAAGAATGTATTTATAACTTTGACAGTCTACCTATTCAGATAATTAAAGGGCAAAGTTAAACACTTAAAAGTTATTTTCCCGCACAAGCAAGCCAAAGGTCCTTCTATAGAGGTTGTAGACCTTGTGGGAATTAAATTCCTGACACTGAGTACCTGCTCTGGTTGCCTGTCAACCAGTATGTTATCCAAAACTAATGATTTTATAAACTGCTTCTGTGTTTTAAGTATAATAAACTGATTTGTGTATTGAACATACTATGTCATCACCATTCAATATTGGAATGTCTTTATTCTGGGGAAACAAAGGCAGTTTACCTAGAATTGTTGCATCCGTCATTTCGTTTGAATCAGTAAGTTAGTTCAGTTCTTTTTTAAAAAGTCATCTTTCTAAGCAACAATTCTGTTTGGGTTCTCTGGGGCCCCCCCCCCCCCACTGAATTATGACTTTGCATGGATTAATTGAACCATAAATTCAGATAAAATAGGCAGACCAGTTTTGTGTTGTTTGCTGACTCAGTATTAGACTCCGTATTCTAGAACAATGGTTATGAAATGCAGGTCTGTGAACCTGTGAAAAGTTTTCCTGAGTCAGCTGCCAAATGAGAAGAGGATAAACTGTCTGTCTGTGTAGAGGAGCCAGATGTCCTTTCTTGGGGGAAAAAAATGGTCCTTTATTCTGAGACTGTCTTACTTTTTCCATGTTAACATTCTAAAATCTCTGGGCACCTGGGTGGCTCAGTTGGTTAAGCGTCAGACTTCGGCTCAGGTCGTGATCTCCCAGTTCGTGGGTTCGAGCCCTAGGTCAGGTTCTGTACTGACAGCTCAGAGCTTGGAGCCTGCTTTGGATTCTGTGTCTCCCTCTCTCCCTGCCCCTCCCCTGCTCCTGCTCTGTCTCTAAAAATGAATAAACATTAAAAATGTTTTTTTAAACAGTAAATCTCTTCTATGAAACTATGATGGTATATAATAGTGTATGTGTTTGTTTTTGCATTTTTTATTTGGCAAACTAAAAAGTAGTGAAAGCTATGAATCCTCCTAAATTTTTTGTTTTATCTAAAAATCTTATTTCGCAGGTGAAATCTCATAGTCTAGGAATGCTTGATCTAGGAATTTTTCTTTTCTTTCTAAAACTATAACTCAATAATTCTATTCTGGAAAAAAATCACTTAATAATTTAAATATCCTTAGAGCTTGCATTGCTGAAGGCAGTTCTTCATTAACTAAAGTAAAATGTAAGCTTTGTAAGAGAAGAGAGTTTCTGTTTTGTTCACCACTATCTTCACAGGACCTATAGTAGCACTGGCACACGATAGGCATTAAATATTTGTTGACTGAATGGTACTAAACATTATCTGTTTATTTAATTAGTGATAAATGTTTTATCCTATGTTGATACAAATTAAAATTTTCTATAGCTTATATACCTTTATTCTCAAAACAAGATCACAATACGTTTGTTACAAATTAATGAGTAGATGAGTTCTTAAAGCGGTAAGGTCCCATCAGCCTTTGAGAACTGCCTCCTGTAGGGAGAAAGGCACTCCCCACCTAGCAAAGGCTGGAAGCCTGGGCACCGATGGGCACCTGATCCAAGGTGGGCCAATCAGATTCTCCCAAGATTTTGCCCTTGAAACCTCGACAATGAGTCCCCGCCTGTGGCTGGAATTGCAATGAACTTAAGAGCCCAAGAAAGCCATAAATTACCATGTCAATTCAAAAGCTGAGGAAACTAGTGTGTGTAGTGGGAAAGAAGAATGGAGCAGATGTGCTAGAAAGTAGAAGACAAAACAGCAAGTGGGATTCTTACGTCTTCCCTAGTTCTTGTTCTCACTGCTTCTTGAAGCAGGACAGCACTCCTGGCTGTCACAGCTGGCTCCCTGAGATGCCCCCAGAATCCTTAGAGTAAATTTCTTTTTGGTTTTGTTGCTGTTGAGCATGTTTTATTGCGTGTGTGTGTGTGTGTGTGCTTAAAATAATTCATGTTTGTTTCCATTGGTTAGAATCAAAGAACACTTAGGACCAAAGAATTCTAATAAAGTAACTAACAGTTTAATTTTGTAGCAGTGTTAATTTTAGCTGGCAATTTATACAAGTGTGTTTTTTTAATGCTTACCGGCTTAAATAATTCTTTAGCTTTACTGTAGTTTTTTTAGAGAGTTTTATTTCTTTTTTTTCCTTTTGTCAAGATATCCATAGAGATATGTTCATTAGCATTTAAGTCACAAGCAAATGTGAAGAAAGCTCTTTATCTTGCAAGTATATAGTTATTACAAGTACAGAGAAATAGTACTCCATCCAGAGCATGTGAATGATCCTAATAAAAATGTTAGATAATTTCTCAATTCTTTGTCTCAAACTTCTGTTGAAATGTAGTCATTATATCTACTTCCTTAAGATTATCTTTCCTTTCAAACCATTATTATTGATGGATTCAGATTAAAAGATTCAGCATTTTTTTTTTTTTTGGCCACATTAGAATTTTCCGTGGAGAGACACTCAACTTTTTAGAATGTTTTGACAATTCAACTATAATGGTTTATTCCTTCGTTTTCTGAATTGACAGTTTCTTCAACAAAAAGAAAGTGAAATTTCTTTTCATCCAAATTTAGAGTCATAATAAAAGTAAACAATGTTTTATTTCCTTGCATGGAAATATTGAGTATTTTAAAATGTATTTTAAAAATACATCTGTATTTAGACCAAATAATTCTAGTATTATCCATTTATTCAGCACAACTTATTGAACACATGCTTCGTTCTAGGCATCGTGTGAGGCAGTAGAAATACAACAGTGAACAAGACAGATATGTTCCTTTTTCCTTCCAGACCTGTATTCAGGTGCTGGAGACAAACAAGTAAATAAAATGTAATTACTAACTGCAGTTAATATTATGAATAAATCAATAGGATACTACATCTTAAGAAGCACAAATATAAAATGATAGAAACTTTAATTTGATTCATTTCTACTATGTGTCAAAGGCCATTTAAATATCTTCATCATCAGTAAATATTTAAGAATTTCTAGAATTGAAGCCAAACATTTTTGTTCAAGATTACAATTACCAGCCCCAGGATATCTCCTTGAGTAAACTTTTCTTAGAATATTTCATGTAAAATGAGGAGCAGTTAAAATAATTTTCAGCAGTTCAGTATTTTGCATTTCTTTTCTCTTCTTTCTTTTTCCTTTCTTTCTTTTTTTCTTTCTTTCTTTCCTCCTTTTTTTTTTTTTTTTTTTTTTTTTTGAGTAACCTCTACACCCAGCATGGGGCTTGAATTCACAACCCTGAGATCAAGAGTCACATGCTCTACTGACTGAGCCAGCCAGATGCCCCAGTATTTTACATTTCTAGTGTTACTCTGAAAAAGTGTAATTTTGTAGTCATAGGTACAGATATGATATTTATATTACATTCATAGTGGACACTTTATAAATGCATCTAAGAGCTATATTACCAATGCAAAAGCAAAAATAGTAATGCAGCCTCTCTGAAAGAACTCACTCATTTCTGTGAGCTCTATATCATTCATGGATTGCTATCTGGCCTTCTCCAGGAACAAGTGAAAAGAAGATACATTATTAAAAACAGCAGCGTTATAAGTATCTTTTCTAGGTATAAAACACAATGTTTCTTCTGTGTTATTGAGTGTAACTAGAGGGCAACAAGGTGTGTAATAAACAGGTTACCTTGCCGTATAATTACATAGGGAAGAATCAACTCAAGATTCCAAGTCCTTAAAAATTAAGTAGACTTTTAAAACTAACCTTTCTCTAATTAAAAAGTACTCGTCCCATTTAGAAATTCAGGAAATGCAGAACAAAAGAAAGAAAATAATCACTTATAATCTTAACACTTAATTTTTAATGCATTTCCTGCCAGAATTGTTTTATGAACATTCATTCATTTGTTCCTAGTGGCTTCATCATTCCCATACATCATCTACTCAGAGTTAGTTCTCTAACACCCTCAGCTCTAATAATCGTATCCACCACTCTACTTTGGCTTGCCACCATAATGATTGCACCTTGGACCTTCTCCAAGTCACTGGGAAGTTACTCGGTGTCTTCCAGAACCGTATCACTTCCGTCCTTCCAGTCTGCTTACTCTACCTCCAGTTCAGTGGACCTATCACTGTTCACTGCCCATTCTCTTCCTCCTGCCTTTGTTTCCCTCCTTATTGAGGTTGGATTTCATGGGACAAGATTATCTTCACTCCCTTGCCACAACTTCAACTCTCTTCCCCTCTCCCCTTTGTTACACTCAACCAGCAAAACTCTAGCCATAGTTGAGGCAGAACTTTCTGTATCTGTTCCTGATTAGCAACATTCCTGATTTTAAGTGGACTATAGACTTCAAATGGACAGTGAATACATTATTTTTTCTTTATGGTACATTGTTGTAATATGCCTTTCTGTCTGAATCAGACATGTGAAGTAGCCAAATCATATGTAAGATTATATAAGATTTTAATAATGTAATCCGTGAGCTCAAATGTATGGATAAGCTGATGGATTTACATACTCTACAGAGACTATTTAGTCATCTGTTTCATCTGTGAAACATTTATAAACAGCAATCATTAACCTGGTTAGAATTTTTTTTTTTTTTTTGAAGACAACCTGAACGAATTCTTCAGAATAGAGATTTTACGTGGGCACATTCTCCAACCGGAGAAAAATTTACATGACAAACCAATTTCAAAAGGGCAAGCAGTTCTTCCCAATTTAAAAATTTTTTTTCTTCCTAATTTAAATTTTTATAAAAGCCTTGACTACTTGGGAATTAATGAGCAGCCACCTAAATCTCTGAATCAAAGAGGAAACACAATACGATATAAGTTGACTGAAAACTCTAAAAATTAAAATGCTGATAGTTCCATATAAAAATATATGGTACACAGCTAAAGGTGTACTCAGAGAATAGTGTGTAACTTTAAACTGTTTGGGGGCGCCTGGGTGGCGCAGTCGGTTAAGCGTCCGACTTCAGCCAGGTCACGATCTCGCGGTCCGTGAGTTCGAGCCCCGCGTCGGGCTCTGGGCTGATGGCTCGGAGCCTGGAGCCTGTTTCCGATTCAGTGTCTCCCTCTCTCTCTGCCCCTCCCCCGTTCATGCTCTGTCTCTCTCTGTCCCAAAAATAAATAAACGTTGGAAAAAAAAAATTTAAACTGTTTGTAACCAGCAAAACTTTGATCGGAATAAATGATCCAAACTCAGAAATGACAAAGCAAAGCCAAATCCTCACAAAACAAT